GGCATTTTTTACAATTTACTGTTCAAAATTGTCTGTAACCTACAAATTTTATCGGATTTTCATGGGCTTGGTCTTAAATTAAAAAAAAAATTTCTAAGAGATCCCGCCAAACCAATTTTTGAATTTTAAATTGTTTATATTTTTTTGTTACTCAAAGTTAACCCACATAGCACAATAGTATGAGGTAAGGTTATGTTGAATACTAATCGTAAGGCACATAAGGTTACACGATATTGCTGTGGTAGACCTAAGGTGAACTAAAAACTTCCGCCATGGAGGTGAGGTTACATGTTAGGGTGTGGTGACTATATATGATAAGGCCATGGTAACCTTACACGTTAAGGTTGAGGTAACGTTACATGTTAAGGTTGAGGTAAGGTTACATGTTAAGGTTGAGGTAACGTTACATGTTAAGGTTGAGGTAAGGTTACATGTCAAGGCTGAGGTAAGGTAATTATTAAGTTGTAAGGTTGAGGTAAGGTTAAGGTAAGGTTGTGATAAGTTTACCAGTTATGGAAAATATTGAAAAAATAATTAATAAATAAATATTCAATTAAAATGTTAAGTTTGTTGCTCTTCTCTATTTTGGAAACCTGACATGAAGCAGAAAATTTTGAAAACAAATTTGGGGGGACTGGGATTCGAACCCGGGATCGGCGCGCATAAACCTATCATTCTAACTAACTGAGCTAAGTAGAGAACTGGCAGAAGGAAAATTAATGTTGCCTTTAAGGTGAACCAAGAAGATGATTAACTCCTTAAAGGCAACATTAATTTTCCTTCTGCCAGTTCTCTACTTAGCTCAGTTAGTTAGAATGATAGGTTTATGCGCGCCGATCCCGGGTTCGAATCCCAGTCCCCCCAAATTTGTTTTCAAAATTTTCTGCTTCATGTCAGGTTTCCAAAATAGAGAAGAGCAACACACTTAACATTTTAATTGAATATTTATTTATTAATTATTTTTTCAATATTTTCTATAACTGGTAAACTTATCACAACCTTACCTCAACCTTACAACTTAATAATTACCTTACCTCAGCCTTGACATGTAACCTTACCTCAACCTTAACATGTAACGTTACCTCAACCTTAACATGTAACCTTACATCAACCTTAACATGTAACGTTACCTCAACCTTAACGTGTAAGGTTACCATGGCCTTATCATATATAGTCACCACACCCTAACATGTAACCTTACCTCCATGGCGGAAGTTTTTAGTTCACCTCAGGTCTACCACAGCAATATCGTGTAACCTTATGAGCCTTACGATTAGTACTCAACATAACCTTACCTCATACTATTGTGCTATGTGGGAACAATTTACAATATTTTTAGAAAAAATCATGTTTATTTTTGTATTTTTTCATTGCAGATGATTGGAATCAATTTAAATTAGTCCAGCATGACCATCAGACAAATAATAATGCATAATACAATTTATTTAAATTGTTGCAAACAATGTTAATTAACAAATAGATAACTTTGGTTCTTTTTTAAAAAAAATTTTTTTTTGCAGACAAATTTATGTTTGTTTAAGTAATCTATGTCGATTTTAGTAAAAAATGATTTAAAATTTAAAAATTATTATTGTTATTGACAATTACTACCAGGCGGAAATTTCCAACTGGCGCGGATCCTGGCCCGTACTGACGCCGGTGTAACTGTACTGGCTCGGAACCGCCTGCCAACCGAATGTGAACGGGCATTCTACCGAATAGTGACTAGGCCAGGAGCGCGCTGGCAACCGGCTCGGAACTGGCATTCTACCGCCCGCTGACCGGCCGGGAGAAGCCGTTCCGTGTATAATTCAACCGGCTGGGATCTGGCACTCTACCGACCGCGGATTTTTCATTTAATAGCCAGCTGAGCGCTGGCATTCTACCGACTGACAACCGGGTCGGATCTAAATGATAATTTCAACAAATATCAATACAAAAAATAATAATTAATTGCAAAAGATAAATACTAATGACAATTCATTGACAGTTCACTTTACACATTTTTTTATACACTTAAACGCAATTTTTTATTACATAGACATTTGAAAAATCCTAACGCTTGGGGGTACGAACCTACGCCTAACCGAATATTTACGCACCAAAATCTCGCACGCTAACCACTATGCTACGCTCGCATGGGACTCTCAAATCTTAAATACTCTCAAGTGTCACTAGCTCAAATAAAACTTGCAGAATTACTACGCGTCAATGATACCGCTATATTTTCAATACTTTATTGAATGTATATTTAGGACTATTTCAATATTTCGTTAAAAAAGAAACTTGTTATATTTTTATTATTATATAATACATATATTGAATAATGGTTTTTTAATATAATAATATTGAACGTAATAATATTAATAATTTTAATTAATATCTCAATAATAATAAATTTATTATTATTAAGATATTATTAATTAACATTAATATTATTGAGAATTAATAATAAATTATCAATATTAATATTAATTAATAATATATCAATAACAATAAATTTATTATTATTAAGATATTAATTAAAATTATTAATATCATTACCTTCAATATTATTATATTGAGAAACAATTATTCAATTATTATTAAGATATTTTTAATTAATATTATTATTAATATTAATAATTTATTATTAATTCTCAATAATATTAATGTTAATTAATAATATATAGTATTAATTAATAACGAATTTTTTTAATTATTTAATTTTTAAAAAAGTCTCAATAAATAATTACTTAATATATTGATTAGATTCATTTATTAATAATTATTTTCTAAAATAATGCAATTACTTGTAATAATTATTTAATTTATAATGTGACAATAAATGACGAGATCCGCAGTCGGATCCGCCCCAGTACCGAGCCAGTACAGACTCAACATATCCGTCATTCTTCCGACGCCGCAGAAGAATAAGATCCGCCGGCGGAAGAAACCCAGTACCGAGCCAGTACTGACAATAGTGGGAAGACGGTTCCGACAGTCGGAGCATAATCTGTACCTCGCCGGTTGCTTTTTCAGATCCGAATCGGTACAGACCGTCGGTACTTGCGGTCTGTACGGGCGCGGATCCCAGCCGGTTGTAAACTCCGACGTTCGTCCGACTTTTCCGCCTGGGTATGAACTATAATCAAGTTTCTTCACATTTGTAAACATTTTAGGCATTTTTTAAACATAAAATGTTTATATAATATGTACATTCTTTCAAAAACTTTAAAAATTTATTAGCACAAACAATTACATTTGCTGTAAACAAATTATTTACTCTTTAAACAAATAAATGGCTTATTTCTGCAAAAAAAAATTATTTTTCCTATTTTAACTAGTTTAAAGTCATGTAAAGCTCTACTTGATTATTGATAACTATATTATTGTTCATATGGTTGTTAATAATAATTGGTAATTAATACAGTGAACCCTTGTTAACGCGTACTCGGTTAACACGAATTCTCTCTTAACACGAACAAAAATTGCGGTCCCGGCAGAGATGCATATAAACTGTATAGAGACGTCCTCGGTTAACACGAAACTCGAACAGTTTTTGCGGTCCTCATTTCGTTCTTAGCTCGGTTAACGCGTATAAATTGGTACCATCACACTAAGAGTTCTTTGTTCCAAATATTTTTTCACCCCTTAAAATATTTTTGATAATGTAATAATTCTATTAATCGTTTGATCAATAAGTATGAAAACGTATTTCCGTCAAATAAACATGATTTTTTCTAAAAATATTGTAAATTGTTAACTTTGAGTAACAAAAAAAATATAAAAAATTTAAAATTCAAAAATTGGTTTAGTGGGATCTCTTAGAAATTTTATCCCCTTTAATTTAAGACTAAGCCCGTGAAAATCCGATAAAATTTGTAGGTTACAGACAATTTTGAACAGTAAATTGTAAAAAATGTCAATGTGTGCGGGGCGAGTTTCACGTCATGTAAACCTCTACACAGCTGCAGTTTTTAATTAATAACATTTTTTCTAATTGAGGCTCATTTTTTTCGAAACGGTTTTACACTCGGAGACATTTAAGGAATAGAATACAATTTAAATTTTTTTGTTAGGACGTGAAGAACATATTTGTTTATTAACATTTTATAAACAAATTATATAAAAAATTATAAAAAATTTAAAAACAAAAAATATATTCAAATAGTGCAATTCAAGACGAAAAAAACTCATATTTTAATTTTAAAATCTGTCAACTGGAACTCGAGAAAAAAATTTGTTAATTTAGCAGTACTAAAAAATTCAATTGTTAATAACTTTAACAAAAAATTTTTTTTTGGCTTAATATTTTCAGGGATTCTTCTTAGCCATATTAAGCGTCAAAAAAACTATTTTGGTTCAAAAAGAAAATTTTTTAGTTTTAGGTGATCCGTTTGAGAAATTCTGACCCTACTTGAAATTGATTTTTTCTTAAATTTTGTAAGAAATAATCAACTGTTCCTATTTACCCCTAAATTTTAGCAAAGTTGAAAAATTTAGGGGTAAATAGAAACAGTTGATAATTACGATTTAATGATTCCCATATTTTTTACTACTCCATAAAATTGTTCCACGGAAGTGAAATAATAACTCAACACACAAAGAAACCGAAAGTATTCGGATTTAAAAGAAAAAACTTATGTTATTGGTAAAACTTAGCAAATCTGTTCCTATTTACCCCAACTGACCCTAATTGGTTTTTATAATAATATTTTTAAATTTTTAAGACATTCTGTTTTTAATTAAACTTTATCATAATTAAGTGATTTAAAGATTCTAGTTTTAAATTGAAAATTCTTTTTTAATAAATTTTATTCTTAAATATAACAGCGACATGCCAATTTATGTGGTTGTTAAAATATTAAATTTATGATTATCTTCATTTTTTTAAAATTTTAATTTATCAGCTTTTGAAATCATGCTCCTCAAATATGAGATACAGACAGCTATAGACAGGTACGGCGCCCTCGACCTCCACTCGCGCCACATATTTTATATAATATTTTAATACTTACTATAGGAATAACTGAACGTGAATAGTGAAATAGATGAGAAGATAGCAAATAGTGGATCTATAAATCGAGCACTATAAGAAGAATTAAAAATATATACAATTAAGGAATCCACAATAACGAAAATGCAGCATAAAAAATCTCTGCACATTTCTTGCATACCCTTACTTTTAGTTAAAATGAGTGAATTACATTTTGGCAGATTACTAGCAGCATTTATTGGTTGGACTTTTAAGCTTCTGAAACATAAAAGTAGTTAAGATTCTTAACTTAATCACTTTGATGAAATCGAATTAGATGTGTTTAACAATTAATAAAAAGTTGTTATAAAAAACAGTGATTCAAGTGTAGAAAATTAATTTAATTGAATATAATGAAATAGTAGGGGAGACTGGGGTAAACCCGCTCACAGTAGGGTAAACTCGCTCACTAGCGATTTGACGCTATGAACTCAACTTAAGATAGAGATATTGGTACTGTGATTAGTACTTAACATTCAACTTATATTAACGAACTTTCGATTAGTTTCATGAATTCAACATAGAATCAGAGGCGATCAAATGTTTTTGGAGGTGTCAGAAAAAACGCTTTTTGGATTTTTAAGTTTTTCGATCATTATTTTTGAGTCTTAATTTATTTAGCAAATTTTTTTGTTGCTATTAAACGTCCTTCTTCGAAGTACATATGGGCAATTCCACGTGAGATTAAAGGTGACCTCTTAAACTCGGCCAAAAATATTTTTTTCTATTCTGCATCGAAAAAAAACAGATAGGTATTTTTTTTTTGTTTTCGAGTTATGAATTTTCGAAATTTTGGACTTTTAATTGTAGACCTATATTCAGTAGCTTATAAGTCCAAAAATATTGAGTTTAGGAAAAAGTTGTCAAAGAATGAAAGTTTTAGTTTTCTTTCGGCTATTAAAAATGGAAATGTTTTTACACCGAAAAGTTTCTAATATTACTCTAAAGATACAAACATGGTTATTAAAAACATTTTATCTTTTAAGGATTAAATTTTAATTTTAATTTTGTGTACCTATTCCCTTTTTGAATAATATGTTCTGGTAATATAACTTTACACAGCCACACACACAGAAAAAAATTTTGGTGCATCATTTGCGCTGCCTATAGTACAGTTGTTGTACCAGTAGTTCGGCGCACTGTTACCTCGTTTTGGCACGTCAGATGCACGAAAATGGGACGTATGTTATCCGTATAGGTGTAGTATATCGTCTGCTCTATTAAATAATGCAGAGGGCTCACCAAAAGGGTGCGCCTGCTGTCACAAAACGGTACGTCTGCTATACTAAGCGCTAGGACAACATTCGTCCTGCGGTTTGGTATAGCTCGTGCACTAGTAGGAACGACTGGTGCACCAAAATTTTTTCCGTGCAATAAAAAATAAAGTGTCTTGATCTGGGGTCGAGACATATGTATTCTGATGTATTTCGATGCGCTGAATCTGAATCCGCCATCAAAATTTGGCCAATGGGTCCTCGTTTCGCCCTAACCTAAAAAAATACACTAACATCGTTAAAATGGTCACTTTTAATTTATCAAAATTGAATCTAACCGCATGTTGATAATTTTCTAAGATCCCTTAATTTAAATAAACTATTCTATAAGATTTTCAATTGAAAATTCATATAAAACATTAAATCTATCGAACCTAACCTCAAAAACACATCTAAGATTCCAAACAAACAAATTATACCATACACAGCGCAATAAAAAATAGGTAAGCTCATGAAAGTTCCAACTTAGGTGTTTCTATGACTGCTGATTACGAAGCCGGTGTTAGTTTATCAAAATTCAAACAGACGGATCCAATATGGCGAACAATATAATTAAAATTTGTTTGGACTGGCTTGAAAATCGTTACTCGGGGGTTTTCGGGGTCGCTCATGACGAATCCCATGTCGGTTTCTAAAAATTCAAAATGGCGGATCTAATATGGCGGTCTTTATTATTTTAACGATTTTTTTAACTTTATTACTCGCGGTTTTTCAGGACCTTTGATAAGGGGCCATTCATTAATTACGTAAGGACGATTTTAGGCAATTTTGACCCCCCCCTCCCCCATGTAAGGATACATAAGATTTCTCGGACCCCCCATCCCCTTTCTTACGTAAGATTTTACCACGAGCTTGTGTAACAAGCGTCGAATAATGAAATATCGTTGAAAAGGGTTTGGGGACACTTTTTTGAAAGTCGAAATTTCATCTGTTTTTCAAAAATCGCCTAAGTTTTATTTACAGTCTTTTATTTACTAATAAAACCTTTCAACATATTTCATTCTAAAGTTAAAACAATGAAATAACACCTTTAAATTATTTAAACAATTTTAATACAAATGCCTCATATTGTTAATTTTTACAAGGAAGTCATCATTTTTTACACAAGATAATTTTAATATAACCAAGTTACATTTAAAAGTAGTAGAATAAAAATATAACAATTCAATAATCGATTATTTAAACAATATTAATTATTAAATGCTAAAAAATATTAATTTCAATATTTAACCCATTAAGTCTTATGAAGAAATCAATCATTGCATTAGAAAATTAAAAATTGGATTAACAGGCAATCTTAAAAAAAGAGGTTTTTTGTTTATAATTTATAATTTTTTAACAATAATTGTTGAAACAAATTAATAAAAACATTTTATTTTTAAAAACTGTTGTCGCTAATCGATTCTGTGCAAAAAATTAAGAAATTTGAGTACCTATGGATTATTTTTTTGTCCAAGTCGTATTTTGTTCACAAAATTGTTTTAAACAAATTATGCTGCATAAATGGTATTTTACTCCAAGGATAAAGAAATGGATTTAAAGTAAAATTAACAATTAGATTCATAGGCAAATTGTAAAAATTATTATATACCTGTTTTTTGTTTTTAATTTCTAATTGCTTTTGCTTGGGATGAAACACCATATTTATTCAGCATAATTTGTTTAAAAAAATTTTGTGAACAAAATACGACTTGGACAAAAAAATAATCCATAGGTACTAAAATTTCTTAATTTTTTACACAGAACCCAGACAGCACGTAAGCTTGCAGCAAGCTTAAGGCAAGCTTGCCGTGCAAGATTGCCAATATTGACGTGCAAGTTTGCAGCAAGCTTGCCACAAGCGCTGAACAGACTTTTCACCATATTATCTTAAATGATAATGTGTATTAGTTAACGTCTGCTACGACGTTGACAATTTTTAATTATTATCCACTGATCATGGATAATAGTTCCCAACTCCAATTCTTTGGGAAAATTAATAACATTATCACTATAACGTTGTTATAATTTTTTAATGTTTAATAAAAATTAAAAATATTAAATATAAATTTGTTGCTAATAATAAATTATTAATTTTATATAATAAACAATTTCCATATAAGATTACATCAAGTTTGCGGCAACCTTTAGTGCAATATTGCTGCAAGCTTGTAGTGCAATATTGCAGCAAACTTTCACATGAAGCTTGCTATGAGTGGGACATTTTAAGCTTGTGGCAAGCTTGCTGCAAACTTGCACGTCAATATTGGCAATCTTGCACGGCAAGCTTGCCTCAAGCTTGCTGCAAGCTTACGTGCTGTCTGGGAATCGATTCGCGTCAACAGTTTTCAAAAATTGTTAAATGATTATTAATTTGTTTAAGCAATTGCAAATTAAAAGGAAAAAACAGGTATATCTTCTATTCAATATGCCTATGAATCCAATTGTTTGTTAATTTTAATCCTATACGATAAATAATTCTATTATTTATTTTTTTATATTAAAAATGCTTAATTAATTAAGCAAATTAATTGATTGAGTGAAGTCTGCGTATAAATTCGCTCCCGGGCGAATGTCGACTTTAAGTATAAAATGTTACGTAAGAATGGCTTTGACCCCCCCATCCCCCCGACGTAAGGCCATGTAGAGATTTTCCAAACCCCCCCTCCCCTAAAAACCCTTACGTAATTAATGAATGGTCTCTAACGAATTCTATATTAATTTTTATAATCTTAAAGTTTTACGAATTGTTATCTAACAATTTTTTCTAACAATTCGTAAGACCCTGAAAACCCCCGAGTAACGATTTTCAAGCCAGTCCAAACAAATTTTAATTATATTGTTCGCCATATTGGATCCGTCAGTTTGAATTTTGATAAACTAACACCGGCTTTGTAATCAGCAGTCATAGAAACACCTAAGTTGAAACTTTCATGAGCTTACCTATTTTTTATTGCACTGTGTATGGTATAATTTGTTTGTTTGGAATCTTAGATGTGTTTTTGAGGTTAGGTTCGATAGATTTAATGTTTTATATGAATTTTCAATTGAAAATCTTATAGAATAGTTTATTTAAATTAAGGGATCTTAGAAAATTATCAACATGTGGTTAGATTCAATTTTGATAAATCAAAAGTGACCATTTTAACGATTTTATGGTATTTTTTGACGTTAGGGCGAAACCAGGACCCATTAGCCAAATTTTGATGGCGGATTCGGATTCAGCGCATCGAAATACATCGGAATAAATATGTCTCGACCCCAGATCAAGACACTATATTTTTTTTGTGTGGCTGTGTTATCATCTGCATCATTTAATTCACCATTGACAACTTTAAGTAAAAAATCTACAAATTACGTTTCTTGTGGTAAAGCTCTCATATTATCTATTAATGTATATTTTTTGAAATATTTCTATAGTTTACTATTTTTTATTTATAAATTTACTATTTCTGATTTAGTACCCCGTTTTTTAATTGGTAAAGTTTGTCAAAAATCTCCGCCTAGAATTACAATTTTACCACCAAAAGGTTCGTTGGAATAGATAATCTATAATTTCTAAAGCACATTTTGGAGCCATTGGTGCTTCATCACAAATAAAAACATCTATATTTTTTAAAAAGAAGACTTCTAAAGATTGAACTTTAATGTTTGAAGATGAATCACTGTATAATGGAACGGGTAAGCCTACAACTTTATGAACAGTTTTTCTATTAGGAAGCAGAGTCGCAGCTATACTTGTAAATGCCATGTTGCAAACATTTATTCCTTTACTTCTTAACAATTGCCATAGAACCATCAAAAGAAGAATCCTTTAGGGCATCAAGTACATAATCAAGTACTACAAGTTTTTGTTTTACATTTAATTTAGCATAATTCTGTTCTCCTATGTTAATATGTTCTGCAATATTTATTTCATTAACTTGTTCGTTAAAAATTTCATCTTGTATATCTAATAACCCCTGA